CTATCATCTAAACAATCCCCCATGAGAACCATTTTTTTAATTTTCATATGTAATTAACATTCCTATTCCTATTTCTTACAGAATGGATCCTTAGATATGGTCTGCTAACTCAAAGAAATGTACAGTTACATTCTAATAAACACTGATAAAATGTCCTTGGACCAAATGACATTCCCACCCTCAGTGAAGCCTTTAGATTTATATACCAGGATGAGAGTTCAGGCCCATTTTTAACTACGTACACACACACATATGCACACTCTGAGCTTTAGTCTGAGAAATGCACATGTCATAGAAGTCTGAAGAGCACTACTGAGATCTCAGAATTCAGATATATATGCCCTATTTGATACAGATTATGTCATGAGATGCAATTTACCTTATTTGTTAGAAGATTGTTTTTATCATACACATCTGTATAGTTTTTATAAGTGGGGAATAACTTTTTCACAGCTGCAACTTCAGCACGATTTTCACTTATATGGCTCTACAAGAAAAGAAATAATATTTTCAATTTTTAAGGTAAAATGCCATTAGAAATTATATGTCCTACCCCAAAATGTTATGGATAGTTTCTACTTGACTATGTGAGGGGCCACACAGAAAGACAATAAAGACTGTACATGTGTTTTATTTGAAGTAATCACGTGACAAAGACACTATGAATATATAATTACACAAGCATGTAATGTTCTACCCATGTAATGTTTCAACAAGGTCTTTTCAAATTCCAAACTATAGTAAGAACAAACAAAAATAAAAAGTTCCTTAAAAAGAAAGTTAACAGCCTAGCTATTTGTGGCCACCTATTTCTTCTGCTATTGTCCTTTAAGAAAAGAGGCCATCAACAGGACAGACGGCATCTTTCACTCATAAGAAAACTGGATTTGAATAAAGAGAGCTGAATTTTAGGCCAAGTTTTGACCCTAGTCATGGGTCTTAGGGTGAGTCAGTTCTTTTATTTAGGTCTCCATTTTCTCATCTCTCAAATAAAAGGGTTTGGCTGGATAAGCAATTTTCCAACTTCTTTTAGCTTTGGCCATGTTATTATGATAAAAATTCATAGAAATCCAGGATGTAAAAGGCATAAACAAGTTGCCTCTCAGAATGAAGCAGGGTTGGGACTCTGGGACTCTGTCTCCATTCTGTCCCCTTTTTTGGCTTCCAGAATGAGTTCTTCTGCAGAAAACAATTTGAAAACAACTGGGCTAGACAATCCTGCAGTCACCTAGAAAGAGCCCGTGAAGACTCACATGCAAGCAAAACAAGTGAGTCCCAGCTCCCACACCAACCTCTCTCCAGGCACCACAAAACTTGAGAGCACGTGAAGTGTTTCAGAGACAAACACGGAAGTGGAACCACACTCACCCCTGACCTAACACAGAAGTCATTTCAGGCCAACTGGTGGTGCATATATATTATGGGAAATAACTCATGAGCAAGTTACCACTTCCAAGAATAGCAGTGCCATTTCCCTCTCTCCATAGCCAAATAAATCAAAGAAAAAACCAGCAATATTCTAAAAAGTAGTCTCGCACCTATGGGATGAACTCTATCCTTGGCCTTGAGGAAAGCCCAGACCATTGAAGAAATGCATGGGCACCAGGAGAAAGGACAACCAGTTGATTTGTGTCATTTTGATAAATTTGAGTAAATACACCTACATACAGACATACACCCCACGCAAGGATATACCTGCTTTTGCTGTGTGTTGATGGGGTTCAGTATCTACTGCCCCAAAATCTGGCATCTTGGCATATTGAAAAATGCCATGTTAAGGTAAAGATAATGGCAGAAGCAGGAAGGTCACTCTGGTGCTTCTCTCACCCTTCCTTCCCCAAAACGGGTCATAAAACCCACGTGTGAGAGGTGCCTGCCCTACACCTGGGGGGAAAAGAGCACCTTTATCTCTAATGACAAAGGGAGCCAAGAAGAAGCTGAACAAGAAGGGCTTGCTAAGCTTCATAAGGTCATATCCCTGAACCTCTCATATTCCTCCACAACCATGCATTCTTCATCAAGCCTGTAATGTTCAAAAATACTCAGGTCTAACCATTACTCCCATGAAGGGTCCTGTGTCATGTAAAACTTACATTAAATACATTTGCATGCTTTCCTTCTGTTAATCTATCTTTGTATTTAGTTTTCAAACCCAAGAAGGTTGAGGAAAAACATTTCCCTCCCCTACAACTGTGGAATTAAATATCCCAGGCTGCACCCACACACACACAAACAGAAAGAGAATGGGGAAGGATGAGAATGGGGAATGAGACCCATTAAGATAAATCTTAAAAAAACAAACAAACAAAAATCAACCACCACCCTGCACCCTACAAGTGATAAAGAATCAATGTGTTGCCTTTTCCTGACTTGCCCTTTGTTATAAGATAGTCATCTCTTACCAGGGGAAATTTTAGTGCAGTGTATAATGAAGCTTGGATGTTCCAACTTCCAATTTTAACCCAACTGGAAGCTTTAAAACGTGTTTTATTCCTAAGTTGTACCTTCTTAATGACAAAGTAATATATACTTTTTTTGTTCCTGGTTTTAAATTAAGAAAATTGGAACAAACTTTTAAATGCATTTTGTAAGGTGGAAAATAGGTTCTTTTTCCTTTTTTTTTTTTTTTCTTTAACTGACTAGACAGCGTTCTCAGGCCTTAAGAAAGTTTCAGCATTATAACTCCAACACCGTCATTTGGAGGAACCATTAAAGCGGGATACAGGGTTTGGTTCGCAGGCTCTTTGGGGAAGGTGAGGGAGGGAGCCAGAGAAAAACAGCGGGGATTCCGGTGACTGCGAAAAACTGCCATGAGTCCTTAGGACTCGCGACGAGTCCTTACCAACCCCATAATCACCTCACTTGGCGCTCAGTGCCGCTTTAGCCATGACATTCCCACCCTCTGCCCCCGAAAATCTGCCTTCATCTGAATTTTAAATACTTTGGGGGAGGGGTGAACAGCGGGTTTCCCGCTTGGCTGTAACTTAGTGCCCACCTCGCAGCGCGCATCCCACAGGGCCGCTCCCCCGGGGGGGC